GTTCATGGGGAGCACCGAAGTGGTGCTCAAGACGACAGAAAGAATTCAGCAGGTCAGGAGCAGGCTTCAGACTGCACAGAGTCGGAAAAAAAGCTACGCCGACAAGCGCCGTTCAGACATGGAGTTTTAGGTCGGGGATATTGTTCTCCTGAAGGTGTCGCCTTGGAAAGGCGTCATCCGATTCAGGAAGCGGGGCAAGCTGGGCCCCAGGTATATCGGGCCTTTCAGGGTTTTGGCCCGGGTGGGCAAGGTAGCATATCGGCTGGATTTGCCAACGGAACTCAGTCAGATCCACGACACTTTCCACGTCTCCCAGCTGCGAAGGTGTCTGGTGGACGACTCGGGAGTGGTGCCCCTGGATGATATACAGGTTGATGGCAGCCTGAACTACATTGAGTGGCCTGTGGCTATCCTCGACCGGAAGTCGAAGGATCTGAGGAACAAGAAGGTCGAGCTGGTGAAGGTGCAATGGCAGCACCGGAAGGGCTCGGAGTGGACGTGGGAGCCGGTGGACGAGATGATGGAGCATTATCCACAGCTTTTTCAGGGCCGAGCAGCAGACTTCGAGGACGAAGTCTAAGATAAGTGGGGGAGATTTGTAGCACCCGGTTCCTGGTATGAATTTCTTCAAGTATTATTCATTTTTTTGCCTAGAACTCGGCGAGTTGATGGCCAACTCGACGAGTAGGAGCGACTTGGACCCGGGAGTTTAATGACCTACTCGACGAGTAGGCCCTGACTGGACAAAACCCTAATTTAAGGGATTGCACCCTATTTAAGCATCTCATTCAACCTCCCTTCGTCCCTATTACTCTCAGATGTCTCCATATTAAACCCTAATCGTTTGTGTAAAGATATAAGGCCTTTGTGATGGTTTTTGGTGATTTTGGAACATAAGAAGGAAGAGAAAGGCTTGAGGAATCAAGAGGAGGCTAGAGGAGTTCGAGTTTGTGCACCCTCTGCAGTTCTTTAGAGGTATAAAGCTGATATCTTTCTCTTTCATGTTTTAGATCCCTTTTGGGGTGATTTAGGGCTTTTAGGAGCCATTCTTGGTGACCAACCATGAGTGCAAGCATGGTTGGGGGCTAAGACTTCAGATCCAAGGTCTTTGAGGGGTTATAAGGCAGAAAGGGACTGATTTTGGAGCCTTAGAGAGCCCCATGCATCATAAGAGTCTCATTTAGGGCCATTTGAGCTCATAGTCCCATGCATGCACGTAAAGTTTGTAACTTTACGTGCTAGATCGATCCTAGAAGCCTAGATCTATCTTTTGGTCAAGTGTTGTACGTCAGAAATCGAGAAATAAGACTTGGTCATTCTCGACTCGACGAGTCGTTCTTGGGACTCGACGAGTCCATGGCTTGACTTCCCTTTCTGTTATGGTTCGAAGGAACCCAGTGAGTGTTAGAGTGGTCTTAGAGGGGTCCGGGGGAATGACCCAACGCATTGGACTTAGCCATAGTCCTGGGGATCATAGGACTCGACGAGTGTATGAACAGACTCGGCGAGTCCAAGGCAATCTCCCAATGTTCGAAGATGAACTCGATAAGTTGTTCATACAACTCGGCGAGTCAAGGGCAGACTTGTTCATGGGATGAAGGTGAACTCGACGAGTTGTTCATACAACTCGGCGAGTCGGATGAAGATTCATTCGAGGATGTTTTAGAAGGAGAACTCGTCGAGTCGTTGCCAAACTCGACGAGTAGGAGCTTGAGGAAGGTCAGATGAAAGGATAGGGACTCGAAGAGTTGGCGGCCCAACTCGACGAGTCAGGTCAACTGGAGGTTGACTTTGACTTTGACTTTGACTTGGTCAGGGGTAAAATAGTCATTTTACCCTAAGAGTAGTTATCAGTGTCTGATTAAGTGTTTTATGGATTTATAGCCGGAGGATCACCGGAGCAGCAGTCAGACATTTCCCGATCAGCATTTCAGCAGTCAGCCGTACGAGGTGAGTTGCCTTCCAGTAGAAGTGGGTCTAAGGCACCAATGTCGGCCCAACAGTAGGAGTCGTATGTTAGATGATTGTGTTTGTGATATTCATCTGGGTTTGCCACTACCCGATGTGTTATGTGCTAGTATAATATGATGTTATATGCTAGTAGCAGTAGGGGAGATAGTCCCCAAGATTTCCGGTCGATAGGGCCGAAGGGGGGTAGTCATACCCAGTCATGCTAGATAGAATATGATTATGTGTTATATGCTATGTGGTAGTAGTAGAGGGGTGAAATAGTCCCCAGTATCCGGTCGAGAGGACCGAAGGGGAGGCCAGCATCCAGATATGCTAGGCAGTATCCGGTCGAGAGGACCGAAGGGGAGGCCAGCACCCATATATGCTAGGCAGTATCCGGTCGAGAGGACCGAAGGGGTAGGTCGGGCACCCAGATATGCCTGACAGTATATGTATGTTATGTGATTGTGTGGTATGCGGTACGATGGGGGAACTCACTAAGCTTCGTGCTTACAGTTTTTAGTTTTGTTTCAGATACCTCTTCAGCGAAGGGGAAGGAGCCGGCGCGGTAGCTGCACATCATACACACACACGTTGGATTTCCGCATTACGAGACTCTTGGGATTGTACTCTGACGTTGTTATATTTATGGTTTGGTTTTCAGACATGAGATATTAGTTTTATGAAATGATATGTCTTTACTATGTTTTCTTATGGAAGTTTTATAAATCAATTAATTAAACATGAAATTTTTGGACTCGAAATTTGGGATGTTACATGGAGGCTGTAAAGGGAACCATTTAAGGTGTTTAAATAGGGTGCAAACCCTAAATATTAGGGTTTCATCCAGACAGCCCTACTCGTCGAGTCGGGCTCCCGACTCGTCGAGTAGATTACTAAAAAGCCGCGTCCAAAGTCCAGTCTACTCGACGAGTTGGGCCTCCAGCTCGTCGAGTCCCAGTGTAAAAAGTAACTAATTATATTTAAAATACGTATCGGGAACCGGGTGTTACAATCACCCTATGGTAATTGGTGCGTTTGTTTTGGCAGCAACGTTACAGTTTGACTCCTTGTATTTCAGAGGCTTCACACCCTGCACATTTATTTTAGCATACCAAAAACTTACATTTAAAATATGACAATATTAGAAAGAAATTATGATTATATCTTTGATTTAAAGAGAGAAACACTATACGTATCTAATAATGATAATACGTTGATTTTGATTATATGTTAGACCCATGGAACTCATTAACAACCTGTCTAAGAGGATCATCAGACAAAATCAGATGTGGAAGAGCTCCTGAGCTTAACTTGCCATACAAAATGAGGGTAAATATGTAAAAAACGAAGAATTTATAGGCAAAGTCTCTTTTTACCTCACTTTCTCTATTAAGTCAAAAAAATACCGCGTTTTCCAATTTCTTTGCAGCATCAGCCCAGAGCACACAACCTAGAAAAAACCCAAGATGAGGAGGCAAAACAGCGAACACTTGGCGCGCAAAAGTGTAAACCAAAACAATAACGACCAAAGTCAATAATCGCAAACACATACCCAAATCAGTAATGAACGACGGCAACAGACGTAAATCAGAAGTCGCAAACCCAGAGGAACAACACCGTGGATCATGACATACGCGTGTTATGTATACCTACAGGCGTGAAGAAGTGGAAGAAGCGATGGTGATTCAACTGATTCAACCATATGGTGAACAAACCGATTTCTAGGGTCCAGATCGACTGTTACCTGTTTCTTGAAACCAAATAATTAAAAGTCGAGATAGAACGAAATTGGAAGAAACTGAAATAGTGAGAAGGAGTAGTAGAAGTCGACCTCATCGTTCGATTGGAATGCAACAATGGGAATAGAGCGGAGGAGTTATCAAGTGAAGAAATCCGATAAGCATGAGGAATATATTCAGAGACGCAATCAGTGGAGGTAGAGAGTCCGTCCTATTGGAGGAGAAGGGCGGCACAATCAAAACAGAGTCTAGAATGAGAAATAGAAGTACGTTTCGTGTCAAAATAAGAAAGATAAAGACTTCCGTGTCAAAATAAGAAAGAGAAAGAATTTCACTGTAGCTAACGTTTTGAGAATTAATAGTATATACTAATACTAATGTTTCACATTTTTACACTTTATATAACAATGTTTCACATTTTTACCAATTCATGCAACAATGTTTCACCTTTTCACATATTTATGCAAAATGTTTCACTTTTTTTTACTAATCTATGCAACAATATCCCTTTTTAGTATGTAATCCTTTTCTTGTTTTACCAATTGCAACCGTAATCCAAAAAATTTCGTCATATGATTTATGCAACAATGTATTACTTTTTAGCAATTTATGCAAAATGTTACATTTTTTTTTTACTGATATAAGCAACCAATTTCCACTTTTGTTTACCAATTTATGCAACACAATGATTCACATTTTCTTACCAATTTATGCAATAATATTTCACTTACCAAGTTATGCAATAATGTTTCATTTTCTTTTAATGGTTAAGCACCTAGCTCGGTAAAATATTACACATTTTGTCCTAAAATGACAAGTCATGGTATATTTCTTAAAAGAAAACTACTTTCTTTGCATAAATACGCATATAACCCCAGCCAAAATCAATGATATTAACAACAAACTGATTAAGAAAACTTGCAACACGACGAAATCTCATGTGTAACAATTGGAATATTTAGACAAAATTCACAGCTTTTGACGTGCACATCAATTTTGAATTATGTTTCTATCAATTTTTATGTAATTCATATCTGGAATTACATATACTTTTATTTTAGTTAGCATAAAAATATCATTCAACCAACACCTAGTCTACTTTTAAATAACCCAATCAATAGAGCACAATCAAATCTTTATTTTATTCAAGTTTTAGTTCAAAATTTATCTTTATAAACTATAGTTTGCCTACGTGTAGAATTTATCTAAAACTTTTCATTTATTAAACCAAAAAAATAAAAAAATACAACAGAAAACGATTATCCTATTTAATCATTGTTTGTGAAGTAATAGTAGCAATCTGATTACATTCTTTAGTGTAAATTCCGAGCTAAAACATCTAATTACCAATTCAATCCCATTGTTCTTGATCACACTATAAAACAAAAATATAACAACTAATCTATCAATATTACAACCACATTCAACTTCAAACACATTTCCACTCATAATAATAAAGCACAATCACACAGTGTGTGCTACTCAGCCACCAAAGGGTATTTATGTCATTTCCCCCATGGGAGAAAAAAAAAACAGAATTTATAAAGATTCTGGACTTGTGGAGGGTCTGATTCTAGATGGCATCCGCATTCTTTGATTATCTTCTTGGTTTCCAAACATGAAGGTGTTGTTTCGGGGCGTAATGGACATTTTACTCAAGTTCATGTCAAAATCATCATCATCATCATCTTCATAGCTCATGGGCTCTCTTCCATTAGAGACCCCATCAGTGGCTTCATCTTCATCACTAATACCTTCCTCATCATCATCTTCTTCTTCATCATCATAAGTTGTTCTCACCATTGACCAGTATATGAAATTTGGTCGGATGAAACTGTAGGTTTAATTGAAAGTTATTATAAAAATTTTATCAATATTTCGCTTTTTGACCAAAAAAAAAAAAAAAAAAAAACTAACCTGTCAGATTTTTTCAACAAATACGGATCAAAAGGGAAGAACAAATCAAGCCTTTCAAATCCACCAAAAGCTCGAGATAATTCGGATTCAAGCAAATCATGAAAGACAAAAATACCCTCAACATGAAACAAACCAGCTGCTTTAGCTCGACTCAAGAACTCCTCTACTATAGATGGTAAGCACACCTACATATTTAAGAAAATTGATTAAAGGGTTGAATTTGTAGTTTGATGATAATTAAATGGTTGAATTTGTAGTTTGATGATATTTACCTCTAATGGGTTCAATGCATGCTTCAAAATTGTCTCTAATGGCATGTTACAAAGCTGAGATTTTAGTCTTGGGAAAGCCAGAATTGATCTCATACGAAAGCAAAGTACATACATAATCGCCTGTGTATATAAAGATATTGCAATCACATTAACAAGAAATAGCAATCTACTTTCATTTCTTCTTTAAAAAGAAAAAAGAAATAGATAAATATATAAAAGTATGTTGCTATTTCTTGAATTTAGCCTATTATAATACCTGGCATCCAGCATAAAAAACTCGATGAACTTTTGGATTTATTTCACCACTGCTCAGGTTTTCACAATATTTAGAACACCAATCCACCAAACTGAAACAACAAACAATATACAAAATTTGTTTGTTAATATATAATTAATACAAATATAAATGATAAAAGTTGAAAAAAATAAAATAACCTTTCCAATATGATTGTGACATAAGAAGCAGACAAGAACTTTGCACGAGACAGGTAACTTGCAAGATAAGCAACAGCACTCATTCTGCAATGCAAAAAAACAACATATTATAATAATTATTGTTAGCTAAATGCCACATCAGCACCTTAACCGGTCAAACTTTGACCAAGTCAAAAGCTTTAATGACATGACTTGCAATCAAAAGTTTAGTGAGATTTAGATAGTACAAAATATAAAATTTTCATTGCCATTTCTTAAATATGATCATAAAATTTGTATATTCTTGATTATGTCATAAATTTCATGTAAATGGGTTAAAATTTGGGTCTATGAAAGTAATAAAATCTGTAGGATTACAAACCTCCAATCTTGAGGATAGATGGTGCTTTTAAAGATTTCAACAAGTCTACTCACGAATAGGGTCCCACAGTCTTCAGGGTCAAGTGAACAAGCATAGAACATTACAAACTACAATTTTAAAAAACATAAAATTTAATTATAAAAGGATGGATTAAAAAAAAAACAAGAAACAATCAGAAAAAAAGGATTAGTTTGTTACTACAATTTTAAAAAACATAAAATTTAATTATAAAAGGATGGATTAAAAAAAAACAAGAAACAATCAGAAAAAAAGGATTAGTTTGTTACTTGAGCAAACTTTGACTTGTATGCGTTCAACACAGTGCTCTGAAATGACTGAAGAAGCACCTCAAATACCTAATTCAAAATTCAAGTTTTAGATAGAGAAGATATAAATAGTGTAAGTTTAGATGCTTGTTTATGTAATGTAACAATTTTTTTTTCTTATTTTTCAAAGTAGAATGTTGTGATATGAAAACATGAAGGTAGAATGTTATAATCAACAAAATAATGAAACATACATTTGTTGTTTCTTTCATTAAACTATAAATTGTAAATAAGTGGTTGCAAAAACAGAAAAAAATGAAGTACCTGAACCAATCTGCCATTTTTGAAACATGATTGAAGGTGATCAAAGGTAAGAACCATCAAAGTATCCAACTTTTGAGCAACTACATTTCCCCAAAGAACTTTTCTTCCAGAATATTCTCTCTGAGGCTGAAGAAAACTCAATGATATATATAGGTCAAAAGAACTCAAGAATATTGTAATCAAACACTAAATACTAATACTTATCCAATAAACAATTCAATTATTTGGATTCTTCAAAGTTAATATTTAAATTACCTCATCCATTTCAATCTCAGTTTCATCTACAGGTCTAGCCATATCTTCTAGCTCCATTTCAAAGATGCCTTTACTTGGATCATCAAGCAAAATTTCATCCCATCCTATCTCCACCTAAATCAAATTCATTCAATCCCATTACTTTTATAATCAATAAACAGTTTTTACAATCAACTACTAAAATATATTTAAAAAAAAAATTGACTCACATCTAGGTCTATAAGCCTATTCACCAATTCAAAAAGCATAGCATTTCCAACAAGCTCTCCCATATCACCACTCTCCAACATTAACATGTTCTCCACATACACAACCATTTGCTGCAAAAGTAATAAAGTTATTATCAATAAGGTCAAATTGCAACATATAGCAACATACTTTTCTACCAAAAAAAGGCAACTTTTAACTTGTAGAATTGATAACAAGTGTTACTATTTGATTTCTTTTTCGAGTTTTGGCTTATGTGGCATTCAGACAACGATGATGTGGCGTATAGATCAAATGTAAGTATGGGTAGAAAAGGGTTGCAAATTGATCTATCTATAAATAGAAATATGTATATTAGACTCACAGCTTCTTTGGAGAACACATTTGGAACCCTTTCTCTGACAATTTGTTCCAATCTTGAAGGTGCTAATGGCACTAAATCAGCAATACCTTTGAGTGCAGAATGTACACGAGTAAGAACTTGATCTTTTTTTGCTAATCCACGTGGCTGCTTCAATATCTCCAAGAAATTGTAAGGTGGAATGAAGTTGCTTACAAGCATATCCAAACACAAATCAACATATTTTCCACTTGAGGAAGCCTGATATAAAGTGTAACATTAAAAAGTTAGAATTTTGAACAAGAAAATGTTTATTTTAGAAAACTATGAGATAGTAATTAGTAAATGTACCAAGGCTACTACTAATTCAACCAATGCATCCATCACATCTGGCCCATAGTTCCATAAGCTCATTCCACATATCTATAAAAAGTACAACTTATTAGTATTATTGTTATCCACAAAAAAAGATAGAGATGAATATTTATAACTTATAAATATAGAAAATTTCATCTTACAGAAGAAAGAAGAGAACGGTGATGTACAACATCAATGTAGGAAACTGCTCCAGATAAGGCCCGTAGAATTGTCTGTTGAGATTAAAAAAAAAAAGATGATTATTTAAAATCTTGAAAAATAATTTGTTTTTTAACTTGATTTAGTAATGAAAGAAAGCTTACCACAAGCATGGCAACTTCATCAGGGACTAGGTGCACATTGTGATGCATATTCCCAATGATTTGATCATATTCATCGGTATCACCCTGAAACATGTTATAAGTTATAAGTATAACACATTCAAAAATCAAAAATCAAATGGACTCTTGTACAAATTCAACACCAATACTTATTCAATTCTTATGTTCTTTATTAATTCTTTGGAATTGACATTGACTTAGTTTAATTTAAACCTGGTTTGACAAAAGTTTTGTTTTTTGTTTATTCGTTTACAAAAAGAAGTGAAAATACACCAGTATTCTGTAAAGCGTTATGCTTTCAGAACCCTAATTGGCTATAACTCTGATGAGGTTTAACTTTCAAACCCAATAAATTACAATTTCTATTTCGATTCTAAATCTTAATTATCCCCTTTCGTTTTGGGTAAACCTGAACACGCAACTTTTTTTTATATAACAGAACAACCAAATACCTACAATACTATTTAGAACACAAAATCGGAAAAAACGATACTTGTTATTCGAAAATTTGACTGAAATATGTGAAAAGAGAGGTTGCAAAGAAGGTGTATCATAAACTAGGTTGAAATAATATTTAATCAAATTACAAAAAATAACAAGAATGATGTCTTACCAATAGAACAGATTTTAGGGCTTCCCGAACATGATGAGACAGCTCATAATCACTAACATCCCCCATCTCAGCATGCCCATCTGCTACTCCTCCCATCGCAGAGACCCGATTGTAAATTCGACAAATTTAACCTATTAAAATCTGGCGAAAATGAAGGAGCTTGACAACGCTTCGGATTGGAAAATTAAGAAAGAAATCAGAAAAGAATGAAAAAAATTGGAACCTGGGGTTGGGTACGATGGAGTTGTGACTATCGAAGGTCTCCGGCCGGTGGCTTCACAGGGGATGCAACGGCGAGCAGGGAAGAGTTGACTTGAGGAACAGATAGCGAGAGGCGATGCTGTGATCGTAAAAAGAAACCCTAGATTGAAGGTAAGAAGGGTCTGTGCTCAGATTTTTGTAGCTGAGGATGTGTTTTGCCGCCAGACCAACCATCAAACGAAGGATGTTGAGTTGTTTTAAACCCTAATGCATAAGCATAACCCTTCGCAACAGGGGTAGAATGGTAAATAAATGGTTACCTAAGGATACTATGGAGATTTCCTATATAGTAAAGGGTTCAAGTGTTGATATTGCATAATTGAGAGTGCAGTAGGAAGACAGCATATCAAGTCGACGAATATGAGTATCATTCTGCTTTACTTTCTTACTTTATGACGGATAATTTGTTTTAACGATTCTTTTTAGCGGCGAACTATTTTTTTGGGTGATTAGTTATCTTTATGATTTATGAAGCATTTTATATTTTAAAAAACATATAATGTATTTGTAAATATCACTTAGAGTTAAAATTATAATGTATTTGTAAATATCACTTAGAGTTAAAATATATCCATAATTTAGATATATATTTGTATTCTTTTTGGCAAATCGTTTTTTTTTGGGGGGGGGGGGGGGGGGGGGGGGGGGGGGGGTTTGGGTTTTGAGTGTTGTGATCAAGGCATAGATTTTGGAGTTAGGGATGTTCCATTGTCATTTGCAAGGTCTTTCATGTGTTTTCATCTGGTGGATAAATAAAATTGATTATTTTGTAAATTTATTATTAAATTCTAATATTTTAGGATCGATGCATTATCGCTTTTATTAAAAATCAGGTGATATGTGACACCGCAACAATGAAAGGTTTTCAACAAAAGAGTTGGAACAAAAAAAACATAGCTAAAATTTTAAAATTTTGTTACCTTGAGCAAAGAGATACATTAAAAATATATAATGATGCACAAAATGGTATCTCTCAACCAAGTCAAATAATCATCTTTTTCTAGAACATTGTCTCGTTTACTAACCAACTAGTTGTGATGCCCATGTATTACATGGGTTAATTAAAAAAAAGTTAAATACAAATGTCAAAATATTTGAGAACTTTGAATTTATAAGAAAAATAATGAATTATAAAATGTTTTTTATCTTTTAAATTTAAACAAATAATTTAAATAAAGAAAAGAAACTAATAAACATTAATTTTAAGAATTCTGAAATTAAAAGGTAAGTTTATTAATGAAATTGATATTCATTTATTACTATATTTATTGTAATTATTATATTAAAATATTATGTGGAATTTAATAAAATAGAAAAACTCATAAAATGACATGTGGAAAAAAAATTAATTCAAAATAACCATAAAATGACATTTGGCAAATTGAATGAGAGTGTGACAAGTGATAAAAAAACTTTCATTTATTAGATAGGATAGATACAAATAAAACCAATACATATGAAATATGCTACTATTATAATAATTTTTTTCAAGGGTGCTGTTAAATATAGTATTTTGTATACACCTCGATTAAAAAAACAAATAATAAATCAAATTGAAATATGTTTTTATTTTTGAACGGCGAATTATTATTAATAAAAGGATCCCAACAAAGACGCTAGAAGATTCATGGATTAAATACATTTTACAAATGTTTGCAAGGCTAATTATGTAACTCGAAAATTGGAGAAAATTGCCAAAAGTTCGGGTATAAATGCTAATTTTTACTCCTATTCTTGATCCAAAAATATTAATTCGCCAAAATCTCGTTGAAGACTTGTGTTGGGGAAGATGGTTTATTATTGAAAATATGATCATTTCTTTCAAGCCAAATTAACCAAATATTGGTTAGAAAGATCGCATGAATTAACTTCTTGCACTTTGATGAATTTCCCCCGAATTACATTAACTAAAAAAGTTCACTTGTATTTGTCACCTGAGCATAATCCATTTGACACCAACAAAATACTCTCTCCCATATCTCGCATGCAAAAGAACATTCCAGGTGATCTCCCGTTTCTCTAACTTCTCCACCCCTCGCCCATAATGTGGAGATAACTCCCACACCCCTTCTAGCCAGCGCTGATTTTTGATGGAATTATGTTTAGTGCATCTCTCCACCCGAAGAAATTGACCTTCAATGGTATCCAATTATTCCAGTAGTGTATGTATGGGTCTTGAGAACAATTGATTAGTTCTCGAATTTCTTCCCGTGTTCTTGGAATTCTCTTCTAGTTCCAGTAGCAAGATATTGTTGACTCCCCCTTTATACATCTATCGACCAGTGAACACATTTTATTGGCTTCCCAGTTTGTATAATAATTGATAACTTACAGAAATAGTACCCTCCTCTGTCCAACATTCATGCCAAAATGAAGTTTTGTCCCCGTGTCCTAACACCTTTTTAAAGAGGTCATGTATACTTATGTTTAAAGCAGTGAAGTCTGAAACAATTTTCATCATATTTTTCCAAACTCCACCAATTTCCGCTTTTAACGGAAGGAACTTCCAGCTTCTATTACTTTTATGAATCGCCAATATTACATTCGCCCACATAGCATTACTATCTACTTTTAGTTTCTATATCCATTTACTGATCAAGGCGATACTAAAAGCTCTTAGACTTCCCAAACCTAATCCACCGGAAGATTTTGGAGCCATCATCTTTTCCTAAGTAATCCAACATATCTTATTATGCGATTCGTTTCCTCCTAGATAAATTTTCGTCTTATCTTTTCTAACGTATCAGTAACACCCAATGGAACTTTGAAAAATGAGAAATAATAAATGGGTAGACTATTGAGTACCGACTTGATTAATGTAATTTTACCTCCAAAAGATAAAGTTTTTGCTTTCCACAGTGATAGTCTATCCTGAAATTTATCAATTACCGACTGCCAGTTCCGAGTGAGAGCCATGTTGGCCCCGACAAGACGGCCAAGGTATTTGAATGGAATGGATGCCGCTTGACAATGTAAAATACTAGCCATGTTGACCACACAATCTGAATCAACGCAAATACCATATACCTTACTTTTGGCAAAATTTACTTTGAGCCCCGAAGCAAGGTGAAAACTGATAGGTTTTACTTTTACATGCAATAACGCGGATAACTCCTTATACTCTTAAGGGTACATGCAACCTATTAGATTTAGTCATAACTCTGTTGAAGTAACATTCCATTGAACAACAAGAACCCCACATCCAAGGTTATAAATGGCGTGGGGCGTGACGTGGCGGCAAGGTCAAGCCTCAAGCTTAACGAGCCATGGCGAGCCATGACGTTTTTCAAGGCGTGATGTAAGGCGGAGATTTTGTATTAATTTATAATTATATTACCACATAAATATAAATTTATATTAAACATAGTTTACTTTTTAGAAGTGTTATATTAATAACTAATAATAAAAAGTTAACAAAAAACACAATACTTGTATCCCCGATTAAAAAAGACATAACAAAGAGCTAAAAAAGTGTCTCAAACGAAAAAACACACGCCATGGCACACCATATCATGCCTTGCCATGCGTCACGCCTAACAACAACGTTATGAGGCTTTTCATAACGGCGAAGCCTCGCCTCACGCCATGGCACGCCTTGGCGCGCGCCATGGTGCGCCTTTTAGAACACTGCCTACATCCCTAGTTAATTTTGAAAGTTATAGAAGAAAACATACCTCCTGATCATTATAGTAAACAATCAACCAACCCTTCTAGTAATTGCTTGGAAACCATCGCCAGAAATCTCGTGCCTCTGATGGTTGACACCCAACCCTAGCAACTAGGAGACTTTAATAGAAAGGAGAGAGAAGATCAAATTTTTGGCCTTGGCTCTTAGAAAAGGAGTGGCCGAAAATTGTAGTTCATAGGGTCCTTTTTACTTGAATTTGAAAACCCTATATAACCCTAATTTGAATAAAATAATATTAATTCAAATTGGTAATTATCCAACTTCCTATTTAATCATAAACGAAGCATAACGAGATTCACGAACCTTGCATTGCGAGATTATACACTAATAATGACTAAAATTAAATCTCTCCCAAATCTCTCTCAACTTTTTATAGTCATCCGGGTCATCCCGACCCTTAACTTGGCCAAAAACCGCTTGAATCGGGGAGTTATATCGAAAAACAGCTAAATAGGGCCAAAACCCTCTTAGGAACCGAACCTCTTAGGAACCGAACCTCTTAGAGTCGAACCCTTCTATTAAGACCGAAGTCTCCTGTCAGGACCGAACCAAGCTTCTCGGACCGAACCTCCTACAACCGAAATGAGCCGAAACCTCCTAACACCCGAAATAGACCGAGCCCTCTGTCCATTTCGGTTCCCTAGCACCTTCGGGCCCGAGAACCCATTCGGTTCTCCTCTCCCACTCTCAGTTCCTTCTCCCACCTTCGATCCTCAACACCCCAAGAGCCGAACCTCGCAGGTTCGCTCCTTAAGCCCGGTTTTCGACTACTTTCGCTTCCTAAGCCCGTTTTTGACGGGGATTTTTCACCAAATTCATATTTTTATCATTTTAAACTCCCTAAACTCATATTTTATTTATTTCTCAAGGATTTATTAATTATAAATCATTATTTTACATTAAGAAGAATATTCTACCCCACAAGTGGGTCAAGTGTGCCCACTTGTCTCCATGTGTCATCCTCTCATTAGCCCAATCTTATCCACATCCACCAAACCAAGGTAAACATCATTTCAACTTGCAAATTGCTCCAGCAACCTTCACTATATAAAGAAATCCCTGGAGGATTTCTTGGTTTACCTTGATCATTCCAAACTTACACACTTCTTAGCCCCTCAAGAAAGCTTCTTTTCTCTCTACTTTCCACCACTTTGTGAAAGTGTTCTTGAGCTACTACTTCACTTTTGGTAAGTATTTCATCTAAACTCAAGTGTCATTCCATATTTTCCTGACACTCTTGGATCATCTACCCACATTTTAACACCAAAGAATCGTTCACTTACCGGGTGATCCCTACTTCCCCAACCAAGTGTTATTCGATATCCTTCTTATCCCTATTCTCGTACAGACGCAATGGCAGGATTTCACTTACCGGGTGATCCCTACTTCCGCAACCAAGGGAATGCCGGTTGGATTGTGGAAGACCCAGAGGAAGATTCCGAAGAGCGAACCCATGGAGGATGAGGAACCCATTGAGGATGAAGAACCCATGGAAGAGGAAGAATCCGTAGACGGTGAAGAGGAAGAAGACTTAGCTGGTTCTTCCAAATTCACCAGTATACGATCACTGATAAACATATCACATTTTGTAGTTATATGGAAACCATAAAACTGAGGTGGCATGCTAACTCTACTGGAACAAAGATGTCACACCACCAAACCGGAACAGCGGAAACGTTCGGGGGCGGAGGACGTCATGTACAGTATCACAACAATTGAATAATAGTAATCAAAGTAACAACAACCATTGCATTGATAATATAGTGTTTACATTGAGTTTGTAACATTGTTTGTATAACACCAAAATGTATAGCAAAAAATATAGACGAAGACACCATGAATGCTCCGTCTTCTCAAAAACCTGTAGTGTACCTGTCTATCGGTTCCCTGAGAATACAAGTGATTTTGAAAGTGTATCAACATTTAAGTTGGTGAGTTCAAAAGTATGTTTTTGAGATGGAAAGCTTGTCATTGCTCTTTGAAAAACGTTAGTACGTTTCTCCAGAAAATCCAATATTTTCTATAGTAAATGAAATGTAGTCTTAGGCCTTAAGACCAACATGAATGTTTGTTACTATACTCTGTAATAGTATATTGTAGTCTTATTCATAAATAAAACTTATCATGAATGTTTCTCTAAGTTGTATGTTGTACTAGTATGCTCTGTACTAGAAAAATAGTGTATCATAGTAGTGTTTGTATGAAAACCTTGTGTATGAGTGCCTGGAATGCACCAGGTGTAATGTAAAATAGTGTACTGTAGTTTCCTTATTTAAAATAAAACCTTTGAAGTAGTGTAAATCTCGTAAACAATGTTTTAGTTGATACTATTGTGAGTTTCATATAACCATGCTAATATGACTAGTAGCCTCTATGATGTTCTTTAGGCGTCGTAATGTTATGACATTTGTCACCCCAGGCCTGCCGGCCTAACTATTGCAAGCAATTCAGGTGCGAGATTTGTCAGTCCCGTATAGATCTATAGAAAAATTCACGCTCTCCCTCCAGGAGATTCTAGTTATAATTTATAGGACTTGAACCTATACCCTGATGGGTACAATGAAGTATTTAATGCATCACAACCCTGTATTTGATGGGTTTTAGGTAAAACAAATAAACCAAGAAAACAATTCCTAAGTTCACCATGCAACCTACTTGGATCTATGTTTTAACTATTGAACATACACAACTTTGAATTGCAAAACAAGAACCTAGAGGAGGAGGCTATTTTCGAAAATAGTTAAACTGGGTTTAGGAGTTACATACCTTTCATTGTTATAGCCACAATTTATAATTCCCTTGATCTTCTTGGAAGCTTAACACCACAAGTGTAATGCCTCTAATGTAATCACACCCAAGAACTAGCAAGAAGGAAACTTGGAGGAGAGAGGGTAGAAAGAGTATGCAATCGGCCTTAGGGTTTCTTTCAAAGAAGTGGTGACGATTTTGGAGCTGGGAGGCTCCTTATATAGCTGAGGGATCTAGGGTTTAGGGAAACCCTAATGCTCTTTGCTTAGGGCCTAAGCAAACCCAAGGGCCTTATCCAAAGCCCCCTTGGACGAAATCCTTAGGGTTTCCCTTATAGATTTCGTCCACCTCCTTCCAAGGAGGTTCTGGAGCCTTCCACTCAACTATTAGATAATTGCAAACTAGTCCCTGCACTTTATAATTAATACTTTTGACCCCAAAATTAATTCTGATTAATTTCTGGCTAACTATTAATTAAACATAATGATTCTAATTAATATATTAATCTTTTAACATATTAATAAATCATTTATATATTATCTATTAATTTATTAATCTTATAAATTAATATCTCTCCTTTCATAATTTCCTTGTCCAGTTGTTAGGTTGAGGGCAACCCAAAAGGATTGTGCTGCTATCAATTCAAATACATACCAATTATAGTTATGGGCTTAGACACCTAATCCAACACTCTCCCACTTGGATAAGTCTGTAACTATAATTGCTAGTATGCCTTCTAAATTTGACCAGCAAATGTGTAGCTTCAAAAGCTGCTGCCGAACTCAACCCAGTCAGTTACGTGTCCTAAGATAAGTGATCATATAATCCTTGGTTCTGCATGATATCCAGACATAAGACATGGAACGTAATCAATCTTTTGTCCATAATCTTGTTTCCCGATTTCTGATTTGTGATGATGTAGGACTTCTAATTGAACACATCAATTTAGTCCTGGCTGGGCCAACACATAAGTCAACACCAATCATCGAGGGGCCCACATATATCGCTTTTCGGTTAGGGCAAAAGGAACGAATAAACATTGACTCATAGCTTGTATCTTTCACTCATCAAATTACATGACAATACGTTTTATAACACCAAGTTATGATGTGTTTTCGTATCACCAATGCATAACTGACTTTAAATTACAACTCATTATCTTCGTTTCAAGATTATAAGATATTATCGTCTCAGTATTACTCGTGATGAATTCATGAAGTGATACT